TTTTAACAGAAAATGTGAATATTAACTAAATTGCATGTCATGATATGTCATATAAAAAATAGTTTGTAGAAAAATAAAAAAAGCGTACATTTGGAAAAACAAAATCCTGAAATATGACAAAAGTAAAAAGTAGTAGTGAACGTATTTTGCAAATAAAAATTCTCTCGTAGTTAAATTTGTCATTTGAATTCAAATTTTAGTCATCTAGTGTGCATAATACAAAAAAACTTGCTATAACTCCCGTAATACTCAAGTGCAACCAGTGGATATTTCCGTAGCTTTTGAAAATACCATTAACAAAAAAAAAAGTAGCTCAAAAATGTAAGTAACAATGGATTTGTTGTGTCATAATGAAAGTAAATGATCAAGTATATACATACCAATGAGCATACCAACCATGTTGATAACAGAATGAAGACATGAACTATTCTCACAAGTCGTATGATCCAATTCCAAACCCAACTCTTTAACCGAGTTTTCGTGCTCACATTCACACTCTTTATTCTCCTCAACACATCCAACACAAATCTTCGTTCTCGACATGATTACTCTAGTACTTCGATTAATTTACTATTACTCAATTATTTGAGATATGTTTTTGTTTGATGTGTTAGAGGAAGAGGGATTGTTGCTGTTATTTGTAGTAGAAGAGGAGACGCACTGTACACTTAATGAAGAATTTTTAAAATAATAATTATCAAACAAAAAATAGAGAAATGATAACTTCATACATTGTTTAGTATATTCGATCGTTGGCCTTCCAATGGAATTGGAGACGCTTTATTTAATGTTTGTAGCATATTAGTTAGGAGGAATCATATATCATACGTTCGAGGGGAATGTCCATACGTCATTACATTCTTAAGTGAATCATGACTCTGAAGAACATTAATTGTTATATTTTGTATACAATTATGGTGTATGCTACTAGAATTCAAAAGAGGTGATTAACACATAGTTTGTCCAAATAAACTTAACGTTAATGTATTTATACTAACTAAACATAAAACTTAAGCATATCAATTGACTATTGCTAGATGTTTTGTATACGAACTCAAAGCGTTTACATCCACATATAAATTTTGTTGTTAATTCAAGGCATGCAACTTTGCAAGTATATATATTATCAGTGACCGATATCGGAGTAATACTAATTAAAGACATATTTATAATTGGAATGAGCTTTATAGTTGAATATTTTATGAATTATGATATTTGGAGTTTTTTAATGGAATGTTATTATGAATTCTGATATTTGATTTTTTTAAGGGCTAGTATATATTGAAAACAATTTAACTGTACAGAGGCTTTTGGTTAAAGGTTTCTTAACGTAAGTTTTTTTTGGGGTAAAATTTCCATTATATATATATAGCTCATTACGTAAATAATTTTAGAAGTTTAGTGAACAATGAAGATCATTGGTGAGACTGAGAGTACGTATTCACTAATGTAGAGGAATTCTTATATGTGTTAATGTGTATACTTGTATAGATGAAGAGTTTTACCTTATATAAGTCTTAAT